GTTCATTTACTGCTTGTTCCCTCCCTCTCAACTAGAATAAAAAGGCCTTCTTCATTGTTTCCATCACTCCTTTTCCAACCCTTGAACCATTCGTATAACATGGAAAGTCCTTAGTAACTATGTGCTGAAATATATTACTAGTCAATTTACCATCCTGAGCCCCCTTCCTGGCCTTGGAATAGCTTCCCAATTGGTGCCCTTCCTCCACCTTGCCTTTATCCAAGCAATCTGCCTACATGGCCATTCTCAAAGGCAGTCCTGGTCAGGCTGCTTTTCTACTTCAAATTTTTCCAAATTGACCTGAACAGTATGACTATAGAGGAGGAAAAGTTTATTTTAGTACTCACGGCTTCAGAGGTCGTAGTCTATAGGAGGCCTGCTCCATTCCTCTGGTTTTCATGGTGGAGGGAAGCCATGGAGAGAAGCATCTCACTTTAGGATAAGGAAGCCAAGAGAGGCTCCACTTGCTAGATACAAATATATACCCCATAGCCACGCCCCCAATGAATCACTTCCTCCAGCACATTTCACCTGCCTCCAGTTACCACTCAATTAATGCCATTAGGGATTAGTTTACTGACTGGGTTAAGGCTATAACCTGATCATTTCTCCTTCAAATCTTCTTGCATTGTCTCATGTGTGAGCTTTTGGGGGACACCACATCTAAACCATAACACCATGGCTGATAAGATGAAGGCTGGAGCCCATGGCCTGGCTCCTACATTCCCTTCTGATTGAGCCTCTGCCCTGCTTGCCCTCACTCCATGCACTTTCACTACATTGACCAGTGTCTTTTCCTCCCAAGTATTTACATCACTTCAGATCACCACCTTTGATAAGGCTCTTCTAGTAGCCTAGAATACTTCTTTCCTTGGACTTGAGATTTCAGTTTAAATGCCATGTTTTCAAAGAGACTGCAGATATTCCAGATTGCATTAAGATTCCCCAGGGAGACAACTGGTCTTTTGTTTTTCACTCGGTGTAATTATCAATTACATCATTCCTTTGTATAATTTCCCACTAAGCTCTAAAGTTCAATGGAGATAGAAATGGCCTCTATTTATATCTCAGTGCCCAACATAGATCAAGTGCATAGCATAACAAATATACAATAAATTTGTTAAAGATATAGATGAATCCCATGTATGTAGACCTTTGATGCTGTAATATTTCACAGAAGCTTTGTTTCTATCTCTGTGCTGAAGTCTTTACCTTTGCTTAGCAAAAAATTATCTTAACTCACAGAAATTTTATCTTTATCTCATTAACACCTACAAAATATTAATTTTAAGATTGCACAGTATGAGCAACTACCTTATTTTTTAGCATTAAAGAATGTATTTAACATCGCAATGAGATAAAATTCATGCAAGAACCTCTACCACATTAATGGTATGCGTAATTTTTATGTTGGTATAAGATGATCCTGCATAAATGATAAGGAACATAGATGAGCCCTAGTACATGGCATTTTTCATAGATTCACAACAAAATTTTTCAATTTTTAAACTTTTTATAGGCCTAACTCTTCAGTTTCTATCATTAGCAATAATTTTGAAAATCTCCCATTATTGAATCCCACCATACACATTAACAAATAAAATTCCTAGATATACTCTCACAGCATACCTCCAATGAATGTTCACTATTGATCTCCACTGAATCCCACCATGCATATATTAACAAATAATGTTCCTAGATACACTTTCATAGCATACTTCCAATGAATGTCTCACTTCAACTCCCCAGTTGCCTTATTCAAATTTTACTGTTGAATCACTGCTCCTATAAGGAGTCTCACACTGAGAGCCCACAAGTATATTTCCTATAGCATTATAATGTTTCCTTTTAGAAATGAATTCTTTTTAAGCATTAGGAAGGAACTTTTGATGATGTAGTAGTGATCACATGACTACATGTTCTTACGTCAAAATTCCACTTACTATGCAATTGATCATATCTGTGGTATATAAAATATAGATTAATGAAGATGATTTAAAGAAAGAGGAATAATAATTCTAGGCCCAAATGATATCAGTGTCTTTTCAAACAGGGACCCCCCCATAAAGATGCTAACAGCTAGGAATGCTTAGAGGCGAGACTTTTTTAAAGAGGGAGAGACACCTGCCGAGTCCTGTGCTTCATGGGTTGGGTAAGGAGCTTAGCTGTGAGGTATAGATGTATAGTGTGTGCTGTAGAACATGGTGCAGATGTGCCAGGCACATCCTAGACAACTTAGAGCTCTATTCTGATAAGCAGGTGGCAGTGGACTCTTATCTTCTAACAAAAGAAACACAGCAATGACAGGAAATTTCCACATAAAAATCCAATTCTAACAGTTATCTTATAAATTGCACTTATCTTCTGAAATGACAAACATCAGCAAGAGCTTTGTATCTGCTGCCCCTTACATGTGGTTCGTGCTCTTGGGCTCCTTCAATTTGCCTTGTCCTCACCACCCAGTCCTGTGGCAGGCTTGCTCACTGCAGACAGTGAAAGTTACAAACGCTAGACTCCACACCCTCAAAGCCTTTCCTCCCCTTTGCATCTAATGGCATGCTACTCCATCCCACTTCTACTTGTCAAAACCCCTTCTGTTTTCTAGAGCCAAACTCAAATGTTACTATATTCTACAACTGTAGATTCACAGCCTCATTTGATGTAGTATTTAACATTGTTAAAAGCCTTGGTGCATGTTCTGCCTTATATATATTTTTTGCATCCTGATGTCTTTTTGATTTTTAAAAAGGATCCTCCATTTTTGTACATATAACCAATGAATTTTCATCTATATCTAATGCTTAAAGACAAGTGATTGAAGAAATGATCACATATGTTCTTGTGGGACATAATTGCACTGATTCCTTTAGTGAAATTTTAATATACCCAACTCTTAACATTTTCTATTTTAGAAAGGCATCAGAACTACTATTCTTCCATCAAGAAAGAAGCCACAAATCTATTTTAGTGTTTTCTTCGACTACATAGTTTTTAGCAAGCATGCTTATCACATCCATTGGAGGAAAAAAAAATAGGTTTCATTCTTGATTGCTTTCTTATCTGTGCCATGGATGATCATTCATTTTGTTCAATAAAGAAGGAAAGCAACTGTGATAAACTCCCCCCAACTATATTTATTGTGACAGAAAATGCTATTACTGGCTAAGTTTCCGAGGGGAGGGTATGGCACCACTGTACAGGATGAGCAAGGGACTAGAAATTTAATTCCAGATATACAAGCAAGGTTTCTCAAACTGTCCAAGTTCTGCTAATACCAAATGACACATTTGAGAAGAAAACATTCATTTCCTTCCTGGAGTAGTTCCACATTGTCTGAGTGGTTGAGATTTTCTATTACTTACAAATGGCCACTAATGCTTTTCAATAGCTATAGTTGGTATATAATCCCTTAGGCTATAAAAGAAGCCCTCTTATACAATGACATCCTCACAAAATGTACCTGATCTCTATTTAAAAATGAATAGAGAGGAAAAAAATTGTTCACACAAGATGTAGGAAAAAGTGATGTAACAAGTTAATTATAGGAGATCATAAAATGATGTACAAGCCACAGGTATGAAGATTCAAAGGAAATAAGCAGCAAGCTACAAACGATCAGTGCAAATTTCCTACGATCAACTTCCTTTGTATTAACATCTAATGAATTAATGTAATGTGTTCTAGTGTCTACAGATGTCTATGGCATTCTTACTCTTTGTAGTTAAATAAATTTACCAACTGCACCCCAAACCATTCATCAGAATGTTTCTTTTAATATACATTGTATTAATTTTTTTCATCTACTTAGATACAAAAAAGATTGATAAATCTGTTTAGAAGGCTTTCAAATAGAAGTTATAATCTTCACTGTAATATCTCGGGACTTGGTGGAGAAGGTGGGTGATTTTTTTAGTGGCAAGATATAGCTAAAGTGGAAGAACTTTGATTACTGGGCATCAGGCAGGCACTGATGGCAAAAGACATAGAGAATCATTAATTTAACCCTCACCTTTTTATTGTATCTCCCTTTGTGCCAGGCACTGATCTTGAAATTGGATTTGGTTATAATAGATATTTCATGTGAAAACAAGTGTTGCAAATGATATTAGGCTACTAGAAACATAATATTTGCAAAATGTAGGTGATGTTGGAATTCCATATTTTTGTAGTGTTTGACATCCAGGATTTTTGCCTATACATCTTGGTTCCTCCATGCTAAGCCAAGATCCAGGTAGGAATAAGGTAGTTTCCAAGATACATTTCTGGACTAGACATCCTGTTAGATAAAAAGGTTTTAAAATGGTCCTAAGCCATTTATTTAGCTAAGTAGGTAGTCTACCATATGTGGGCATCTAACTGAGGAGTCAGTGGGGCTGAAATTCAGCATCTGCACTGCTTTCCAAGTGGTGTAACTTGGCACGAAGTTGCATTTCCCTGGAGCAGGAGGCACATTTGGCAAATTGCATAATGCATGGTGTGCACATCAAGTCACTTTCTATGTGCACAGGAAACCACCCATCCAGAGGAAGGTCTTTCTTCTGATTTGTACAAGGTTAGAGGTGTTGATTTTGTTAGTCTGGACTCAGCTTGCTGAAGATACTTAAACTGAAGACTGAGATCTGAATAGAAGCACTGACTCAAGGAATTGAGGTCGTGGGCTCCTTGGCCCCCACTTGGAGTATAACAGAGAATACCAGAAGCATTCACTGCACTCAGGAGGTTCAACTGAATTTTGAAATATGTGATTTAAAGTACTGCAAAGACCCAACACTAGCACAGCTGGGACACCACAGTATCTCAAAGCAACATAATAAAGGATGCCTCAGTATTGAACTCTGGAGGTACTTCCTGCTGCTATTCAGGATTGGTCTGGATCTGGGGCAAGGCAGAATTGTCTATGGAGAGAATACTAACCTACTTATGGCATATTTTAGGAGGGTTGAGAGCCTATGAATAGTACCAAAAGTCCTTGCCTCTCTTTAGAATTGCCTCAGACTTACTTCAACAACTGTGGGGCAACTCTGGTCCAACACATAATTTATTTTTGCTATAAACTCTTTACCTTGGAGGTCCAGCAAATCTGTATGAAAAAGAATAAGGGAAAATACTTGAGAATGGGGTCAGTTCCAATTTATCACCATTCAGTTCAACTGCAAGCTCTTTCACAAATGTGTGTGCTAGAAAATAAGTCCACAGCCTGTCCTTATAAGCCATCTATAAAGTCTTTCCTTCTTCATTTACTTTTGTTATATTTGTCAACATTTGCTTGCTCATATAGAATAACTAGAAGTAATCGAAAATTTTTTTTTTCATACTTGTAGGGTACGGTGACAAAAAGCATGGATTTATAGAAAAGCCAATATGCTTTGCTGAATATTATAACCATTGACAATATTCTATCTTGGCTGTACTCAAACTGCAATGAACCCGCAATAGTAAGAGAAAACATAAACATATATTGAGGAGGATGAGACAGGAGGTTCTCAAGTTCAAAGCCAGCCTCAGCAACAGTGAGGTACTAAGCAACTCAGTGAGACCCTGTCTCTAAATAAAATACAAAATAGGACTGGGGATGTTGCTCAGTGGTTGAGTGCTCCTGAGTTCAATTCCCAGTACCCCTTCCCCCCTAAAAAAAAAACATATATTAACGTGAATACCTCATGCCCTCAAGCATTCAGGCTATGCCTGGTTGGTGAGGCTGTTGGGATAGAATAGACAGCGCCATTCATTTTTTCACTTCATTCATCAAAAATGTTTGAACTCTTAATGTGCACTAAGTATAATCTCTGTACCTTCTGAAACGATGATATTTAACAGTATGATACCAACTCACAGTTTTCGCAGGTGATATTGTCATTGCATACAAAATTGGGATGTTTCTCAGTCACAGAACAGGCAATCCACTGGCAGAACTACATATATATTAATAATCATCAACATGTCTTCAGTGTAAATATTCAATCTCTTTATGCCTTAAATATTCTGTTTGGGAAGCAGGAGAATAATGCCTGTGATGCAGGAGACTGAGCTGGATTCGGAGTGTCTGATAGTTAGAAATTCTACCATTGTTATTCTAAGGTAGAAATTCTAAAGCAGCCTCACAGCTTCCCACTCTGTCCCTAGCACAGCTGTAAAATGTTCTTTCTAGATGGAAATGATGGCTGAGTGGAGTCTCTGGGGGAAGAGCTGTGGTTTGCTCTTGAGCCAAGCAATAGCACTATCAAGAGGTCCCCACCAGGCATTAGCTCTTGAAGTGAGCGTGTTATGGTTCCCTGGGGCCTCCTTGACTTGAAAGATGCTCTCCATGTGAAGTTGTCTCCAGAGACCTCCCAGAGGTCTGAGAATATGCCAGGGTCAGCATCTAACCCACTGGCTGCACATTTACTAGAAAAGACCCAAAGCTCTCTGCGTGGGCATAGGATGTTCAGCTCAGGTGATCTTTCAAGAATGTATGTATCTCTTTGAGGTAGAGTCAGCTTCTCTGTATTAAAGTGCTGTGCAGGTTTTAACCAAGGCAAGCCCCTTCCCATTCACAACTCAGAGCCCTCCTGGAAGCACACCCAGAAGTTCCATTTACCAAATGTGGCCTATGCCTCACTTCTGCCTTTGGTCATCTGAAAGGGAAACTTATACTCCAGATTCAACTCAATTACTAACCTCAAACTCAGAGCACAGAAAGCATAATGTTTGATGATTATTTAACATTAAGTGGATGATACGGCATTTGTGAACCACTTCTCCTTACATCATGAAATTCCATAACTGGCATTATATGTATATCAATTATTACATACACCACTTATTCTGTGCTTCAGCTCTTCAATATCGGTAGTGAAAATATTCATGAATATTTCAAGAAAACATTCATTTTCTTCTAACACGTACCAAACCAGGAATGATCTCCCAAACAAGCAGATATTGAACATTTTAGACACTTCAGTAATAAATACATTTTGTATCAAATACTATATGTGTAATTAGAATTTTAAGTTGTTTTTATCCATCATATAGCATTATGTTCTATTCCTTGAAACATGATAGAATACTCCCAAAACTGACTTCATGACCCACTCAAAGTTGAGACCAACAGTTTGACAAAAACTTTTATAGATGATAGCAAACATTTTCAGAATGCAGCAAGAGGTTGAAAAGTCCCTCTAAAGAGTTCCTCAGCATCAGCGGTAGTGATGAGACCACTAGCAAAAGACATTGCCAGAGAACCACTGTTAAAAATGTGCTCCAGAGCCTAGCACAATGGTATACACCCATAAGCCTGGCAACTCAGGAGACTGAGGCAGAAGGATCACAAGTTCAAGGACAGCCTGGGCAACCTTGCAAAACCCTGTCTCAAAATCAGAATTAAAAAGGGATGGGTATGTAGCTCAGTGGTTATGTTCCTGGTTTCAACCCCTATTTTGAAAAAAAAAATGTTGCAAGCTGAGATGTCCACTGGTCTTGGACCCCCAATTGTATATGTCATCTTCCATTAGCAATTATCATCATATTTTTCTTCTTGGGCTTAGAAAAGACTCCAGATTTATTTTCAATACTACACTCCAGGGCAATGGTTAGCAAGAGAATTAAAATCTATCATGTAGTCTGATCCCCAGTTTTGTTTTTTTTTCACATTAGTTTTAAGTCATTTTCCCATTTGATACTTCTAAACACATGAGGAACTTTCAGGATGTGATAAGAAAGGCAAAGAGAAGGGTGAGTAGGAAAAATCCAGGGGGGGTCAGGGGGGGGCCCAAAAAAATTGGTGAGGACTCTGGGGACAGTGTTTTTAGTCTGGGCTACAAGCTAGTGCACAATATTTCTCCAAGCCCTCCATTCTATATTCTGAGATTCCTGCTCCCCTAAACTCTAGTCATATGTTATCATTTTAATTAAAAGTCTAACTTGACAAATGAACTGTCCAAGATACTTACGCCTGCTCCATAAGGAGACCAGATGTTCCTCCTATTATCTCTTTCATTCATTCCAACCCTGCTTTCCTTCTTAATTCCCTCTGATTTTGACCTCTCTAACTACCTATGAGTTTTCCTTCAGGCTCTGCCTTTATGTGAAACAATGGACACCCTCTCCTCATCTTGAATAACAATATATATGTAGCTACTGCTACATATCTCATTTCATTATTCCAAGGCTTAAGAACCTATTAGTCACCCTATATGTTTATTTGTTTTATATTAACCAATTATATCTGCATAAAATTCTAAAGAGGACTAATTCCAGAAATATATAATACGATGAAATGCTTGTTGTCAATGTTGTCTGTTTACGTTTTTTTGGTTTGAGATTATTTTACTCTTGCCTTAGAGGCAGATACCATATCAATATTTTTGATGTAAAATTTCTAGATGGCAAAATGCAAAGAAATTAAGCCCACAATCCAATCAATGTTGAAAATTTATCAGATCAAATAACTAATACCTGAACAAGATACAATATTTCCAACTCCACTGAAAATATTTATGTCTCCATCTTTCCCCTCCGTTAGCAAACATTGTTCTTATTTCTGTCACTATAGATTAATTTTACCTTTTTTGGAACTTTAAGAAGTATAAAATGCATCACCATAATTTTTATAGTAGCTTCATCTGTATAGCATTTTTTTTTTACATTTACTTGTGTTGTACATATCATGGTTTTTTTCTGAGTATTCATTTATACATTCTCCTGCCAATGAACCGTTAGTTTCAGTTGCTGACTATTTGACTATTGTTAATAAAAACCCCATGATATCTTTGTGCACATTTTTTTTGTAGACGTATATTTTCATTTCTTCTAGATAAATAAATAGAAATAAAATAGTGGTTAGATAACCAAACAGTAAATAATTGGTGATTGTGTCATAAGCTATAGGTATAACTTTATAAAAAAATTGCTAAATAATTTTCTAAAGTGTAACATTTTATATTTTAAATAGCAACACAAGAGAGTTTTTGTGCTAAACCTTTTTGATAAAATTACATGTTTTCCATCTTTGGTTTTTTTTTTCTACTCTGTGATACCTTCTATTGATATCACTCAGTTTTTGTAGTGAGTACTGTGTGGTTACCTAGTTCATGATATTGCAATCTAGTACTTAGTTGAACATACTCTTACATATTAATGAGAGAAACCCAAGTGATGTCAGACAAGCAAATAAGTTCTTACAAGTAAAAGTGGAAATATTTTCATGTCTTCACCCCTCTAGTACAACAGTTAGAGAGGAAAGCATCTTCACTTTTACTTCCTCTTCCCTGTGGGTGGAAAGTTCCTTATGATAATATAGTCTATTGATAAATTCTATACAAAGACATCTAATTCGCAGCTCACATCTAAGATTTTAAGTATTCTGTATTCTCCAATATTGAACTCACTGATCTTCTTCACCATGCTCAAAGTAAATAACTAGAGTTGACTCAGTAAGTCACAAATATTGTTTCTAATTAACATAAAATTGAATCCCACAACTCTGATCTCAGCCAGTGATTTTTAACAAGTGAAGAATGTTGGGAATTCAGTTACTGTAGAGGATTCCTACCATTTATTTCTTTTGGGGATAGTGAGGATTGAACTCAGGAGCACTTGACCACTGAGCCACATCCCCAGCCCTATTTTGTATTTTGTTGACAGAGTCTCACTGAGTTGCTTAGTGCTTCTCTGCTGCTGAGGCTGGCTTTGAACTCGCAATCTTCCTGCCTCAGCCTCCTAAACTCCTGGGATTACAGGCGCGCGCCACTGTGCTCAGCCTTACCACTTCTTTCTTAGTCAAGCTTTGAGATTAATCAGTGCTCCTGCTTTCTTGTTCAGCTTTCCCTCAAGTAGTTTTGGTGAGGATTAAGGCAGAAGCAGAGCTTTCCTTTGGACCATGCCTCTCTGGGGCTCTTCATCTCTCAACTCTTCCTGAGGGGTCTACCTCATAGTGATGTTTCTTTCCACCCTGTCATCAAAAACCTTCTTAACTTTGTCCTCCCAGACACTCTCCACATATTCGGTCTCTATTTCAGTATCTCCACCTCTTTTTCTTTCCTGACTCCACTATTTTTTTTCACACATACGAAACATTACTGTTCTTAATCTCTGTCATTACATCACTGTTCCTGAACTTTCTGCCCATAAAATATAGATATATTTCTGTTTGGAAAATATATACATTTTTTTTCATACCCATTCCCTTCTCTCATTTTACTGCCATTTCTTACTTTAATCCGTATTTATTTTCCACTTTAGTGAATATAATTTCTGGGACTCTTAACTCTTTCCATTTTCTAGTTTCTTGTCACTACTAATATTCCCCACATGTATGTTTCCTCATATTTTTAAAATATTCAATTCTGTCCCAGTTTATAGGAAAGATTAGAAATTCCTTAGCCAAGCATAAAAATGTTGTTCTTCATTGTCATACTCCAATTTCCCAGTTTCATTTTTTCTTCACACCATGTTATTTTGTCTGCAAAGGTATCTTACCTTTCAACCCATGTGCAATCCCATGAGCTATTCTTTCTACCATAATGGCTTTCTTCTCTCATCCCTACTAAGAGCCTGGCCATCCTTTGAGGTCCTTGGTCACACTACCTGCATGGGGATGCCTCTCTCTCCACTGGAGTTGGCTCCTTGGCTACTTGTTCCTCCTACCATTCCACCAGTTTCTCATTATCACACAACTTCCTACATTTAAAGTAAATTAACCTGGAACATCCTGCACTAACATGTTATTCAGTGGTTAGTTTCCAAAGTGAGATGCATAAAGTGAAGATAATAAAAAAGACAAAACTTTCATTTATAATCTATTAGGAAAATTTCCCATTAAGATTGCCACACTAACCCACAATTCTCCAATGGAGAAGATTTTCCTCCAGTGCTTTGACAAATCAGTTTTATCGTTGAGTACCACATCATGTATTTGGCTTATTCTTCGAATTTCATGGAAAGTTGTATAAACTTAGTATGTGTTTTCGTAAATTTAGCCACACCTCATTTTTGATCTTTGAAATAAGGAACAGGGAGTTATCTCTTCCTTTTAGAAATAAGAGAG